GTATGCACAGTTGTACTTGTACTAGGCACTGCTGGTGCATGCCTGCTGCTAGTCTTGGTCCCAGTGGCAGCGCTGACTGTCACAGTGCCTATCACTGGCCTGGCCTGCAGGTAACCTGGTGGTGGTGCACTGGATGCTGCCAAGTAGTTGGTACTGAAACTGGCACCTGTACTTGTGAAACTAATGCTTGTCACACTGGCCTGTGCTGGTGACAGGTTGTTTGTGGTTGCAGGTGACAACCCTGCCGTGGTGCAGTGGTGCTGGTACATGTACTAGAACTACATGTAGTACTGTTACTAGTGTTAGTGGCAGAAGTAGTACTGCTACTGCTAGTGCTGGACTGAAGCGCTCGGTCTCCGAGACTGAGGGTGAGGCCCGCTACGTCTGCTCTAACTTTTACTTCACTGGCACAGGGCTGAGCACCAGCTTCTCTGACCGCTGTGTGCTCCACAGTACTACTAGCACTACTATCTGTCTGCAGCGCTATCGACTCCACTCCGTACTCAAATTCCCGTGCTCCACCAGCATGTAATAATATTATTGTTCATCGCGTTCATCAGCGCTGTTCTCATCGACAAGAGCAGTGTGCCTATCCTGTATCCAGGTAAGCTTGCAGTTTGTAGATTTGAGTTTTTCTGGTCGGACTTCCGAAACGTGTACTGGGCGTGACAAAACTGCTGTATAGGGCTTGAAAGTGCTACGTCACAGCATAGCAACAATTTCAAAAATTCAAAAATTGGATCCACTTGGATCCAGTTTTGTATGGATCCAAGCACATTTCAAGCCGTCTTACTCTCAGCAAGGTGATGTAACCAGTGAAACTGACTGATTTGGCTACTGGGGGCGGGGTTACAACTGGTGGCGAAATAAAAGTCACACCTGCATGCGACATGAGTGGGTTGCTATGCACCCACATACTTAGGCAATAGCAAAGTCACACCTTAGTGGATCCAAAAATAGAAATCTGATGTCAACTTACTACTCCCTGGCCGTTTTGACGTCATCACTTTCAAGCCCTATTGCCGACAGAAGTCCGCACTTCGTTCCATCGCGGACGTATACTTCTCTTCTGTTTGCTCCGCATCCTCAGATAACTTGCGTAATTCTCCCAGACAGTCTGGGGTCTGCTGAACATAACTCGTCAGGGTCCTGGTGACTCCTGCAAGTTCGTCCATGGCACCTTGCAGCAAGGAAACTGCTTTCAGTACCGTTGCCTTGTCCGGTACAGGTCGCGTGTCGACATCTACCAAGACCAACAGCCCACGCCTCGCATTCGTGAGCTGCGTCTTCGCTGCCGACTTCCGCAGCTTCAGGAGCTCGATCTCACGCTCCAAATCATGGCATTCCTCCGAGGATGCCATTCTCAGGCGAGGATCCTAACCTAACGACAAACCATCCTCTGCTACCAAAATGTTTTGACGGCTACAGATCATACACCTCGGCGAGGATCGACACTCATGAATTGCTGTGATGTTGGCTCGAAGAGCACTGGATTATTCCAATAAACTACAATACATGCAAAGAAAAACTCTCTGGAAACCAAAAAGGCAGCGCAGCCAAACAAAGGTACAGCTAAAAACCTCATGCCGCACGCACAAGAACACAACAACCAAAAAAGGCTACACTGTACAACTTCGATATTACATCAGGCATCAAGGTGCCCCCAGGGGGAGCACATGAAGACAGTAAGATGCCAGGAGATAAAGGTCAAATCACAGAGAACCGACAGCATGACCGCAATGGCAATCAGGAAGAGAAAGCAGATCGCAACTGAACATGACATGAACGTGTAGACTGAACTCCGTGGCATTCTCGCCACGCCAAACGGCTCGTCCGAGAAGGTGATACTGAATTTTTTGTTTGTTTTTGTTTTGAATGTCAGAATGGTTTCGCGATAGTTTCGCATAATTCCTACCAAAATTTTACTAGTATGAGTACGAGCGTACAAACTCTAAAACCAGAAAAATAATAATATGTAGCGCAAAATAAAGAGAAGAAAATAATAACCGGTCAAGCGCTAAATACAAACAGAAGAAAAAGAATCCTAAGCGAATACGCGGTAAACTGCGCTTAAATTATAATGAAGGGAGAAAAACTGGAATCCGCGGAAATTATAAGATACAAAATGATACAGAGAAAAGGGGAAAGGCTGGGGGAAACAGACAGGTTGCCTACAGATGACACTTGGAGACAGCAAGTGTGGCAAGATATGCATGAGGGTCATACCTGCTCTACTTGTGGCGATGCCCACGAAGGCATGCCACGGCCGCCTTCACGAGAGCAAAGGACAGCTGGGCTCTGATCAAAGCCATTGCCACAGAGAAAGGCTCACCATTCTTCTCAGACTTGATGCATGAAATGCGGCCAAAGAGGGTGGAGGCTGCCTTCCCTTGGCCACCAGTCGTACTGAATACCACGGGGATGAAGGAAGTGTGTTCTACGTTGAGAATGCGACTCTCGTAACTCCTCCTTTTCTCCTCTTCATGCTTTCTGTAGCTGCCAGCGATCGTTGGTTTCTGATTTGAGGGGGCAAATGGGTTGAAAACCCGGACATCTAGAAAGGTGACACTGAAAAGGATATTGTAATTGACATGGTAAAAAAATTATAATACTAAGCATTGTAAGCAATAAAGAGAACAAATTCTACTGTCATCGCCAGACAACAACGAAGTCATGAAAGTTTTCCAAAATCGATTTTCATGTAGAAAAAAGATCAATAGTCCTACTAGTTTCGTCATCATCCAGTAACGTTTGGCATTCTTTGTTGCCGTGGAGCGTAGCTCGTGCTCTTCTTCGTTGCGCTTTCCTTCCCCTCTTGGACTTTTCCGAAACTGAGCCTTCCAAGTTAAGGTTGTTAGTTTGCACCTTGGAGAAGTGTTGGGGCTAAGTGTCAGGTCGCTGAATGTCTTAGTATTCCTTGTCAGTTGTGTGCCATTTTGTCGCCGCACTCGCTGACTGTAAGTATGATCTGGTTACTTTGGCGGACAGTTAGGTATATTATGGGCGCAAGAAACTAGGCAAGGTGTAACACTGAGAACTGAGTTGCATGAACCTTCTCAAAGCAGCACGCAGTGCCCAGGGTTCTAGGAAAAATAGCAGGTGAGAAACTGTATACTGTAAAAGCCGTATATAACGAAGTGCTAACTCTAACGAGTTAACGAGGAGAAATATGTCGTTATAATAGAAATCGTTATACAGAAATCGATACATATACTGTCCTTTTGAGCTTTGAGAATAAGTGAGAATCGTTACCTTTGGTGCACGTAAACCAGTCAATTTTGGGAAATTGTTATATATGCGCCTCGTTAGAATAATGGCTTTTACAGTACATACATGTAGTCATCCAATCACAAGTGGCTGACATTTTGCACGACTCGATAATGCAGCACAGATACAGTCTACGAGCATGTAAATACTGAGCTGATCATGGAAAGAAAAGGGTTTTGGCAAGAAACTACACAACTGAGACGGATGTAGCCTAAGCCCTGTGCAACGTAATCTGGCGCTGTCACTGGAGGCTGGTCTGGACTGAAAACTGACCGAGAATTCTTAGCTGGTCATTGGTAGCACTGAACAAGCCACCATGGCACGGTGTCAATGGTGGTTGAACAGTCATGCACTCGTAAATAGAGCTGGGAATAACTCTGACCTCCGCGCCCGTGTCCACTTTGAAGCGGATCGCGGAGTCATTTACGTTCACATCCACATACATGTACCATGCGTTGGCTGAGGACGAAACTGCACCCAGGAACAGAGGAGTTATGTCCAAAGCAAACAGTGTAGAGGCAGACACCAAAGCAGGCCGTGTAGAGGGGACGGCTCGATACCGGGACGCTTTGACAGCCAAATTTGTATAGACCCAAACCGATCATCAGCGTTGATTTTTCACTCGAAATATGTTTGTGGAAGGAAACTGGCATGTTGAAGTTTGCTCTGGGGCCAGAGTCAATCGAACTGAGCCACTCCTTTGTGTTGACCCATTGCCTCCAAGTTGCCCAATTTTTCGCTTCAAAAAAGTTCAAATCAGAGGTGGCTCCAAACCGGACACGTTTTAGAGTGCACGTCAAATTCACTCTGGGTCTGAAATTAGGTAATTGCTATCGCTCCACGACGGCCAGTACAGAGTAACAATAAGCCTTGTGTGTGCTTCCATTAGTTTTGATTGGTATGCGGTGCTTTATTGGCGAGAGGCGAGCCGCTGTTTACCTGCGACAAGAAGTTGATGACTCAAGTCGCAGTGCGAAGCAACACGTCAAAAACTCACCTGCTTGATATGGCGCTTCTGGTCATCGCAGAGCCATGCAATTTTGGCTCGGAGTATAACACATCGTAGTCTCACTGTGCCATATGTTTTCTAATCAAAATACCAAGAGAGAAAGTGAATATTGAGTCCGTTCCGGTTTGCAACCGGTGTTCTATTTGAAACCGTCCCCTCTACACTCTGGTGGCTCATCTAACTGGTCGCACTGGTCAACCCTGCCTGTGCGGCGCTTAGGCCAACGGCTGACATCCAGCTGCGTACGCCAGCAGACACAGCATACGCAGATGACCTAGACTTTGTGACTACCGACGGTCAGCGGCTGTCGTCCATGATGCCCAGCATTACCAATGCACTACTCACCTGGGATTTGATGGTCAGTGAGTCAGCGACAGAGCTTTTAAAAACATAGTGAGCGATGATGCCTTGACCATATTGCCGAGGAGTGGAGGGTCACGAAGAAACTGGGCGAATGCTAAATCTCAATAATAGTGATTGTGCAGGGTATCGAAAGCACTTTTTTGGCTGTTGCAGTAAGTGAATTATGTTGAAAGGGACAGGGCAGTGAGCTGACATATACAAACGCAATATAGTAGGAAACGTTTCATGTGCATATATGTATGTTACATGTTTAGCAAGACACTCACATGAAAAAAAAGGATGTTGATAATCCACTAGCCATATATTTTTATTTTTATTAATTTTATTTTATTAATTTGCTTGTTTTTCCATTACAGTTTGGACAAGCTGGGGCACTTGCTCAGGCGGAAGCTGCACTTCCCTTGGGACTCACATGCGCTACCGAACCGTCACCCGAAGCGCATCGGGTGGCGGAGCTGCTTGCCCCGTTCTGTCCGACACCGGTAAATGCGGAGGCTGCTGTACGCAGAATTGCTTGTTGAACAGCTGGAGTGGCTACGGTGATTGCTCATCCAGCTGCGGGGCGGGAACAAGGGTAAGTTTTGGATTTGGTTGGTGTTCAGTGTGAAGATGCAACACAAAATCAATAATACTGTAGAACGGAAAATTTTAGGGCGTACATTTTTCGCATTTCTGAATCGGGGTCAATTCGCAAGGAAATATTTTAGTGATCCGAGTTTCAAAGTAAAAAGAAAAGACGATGACTTTTACTGCACTGCACATGCCAAATTTCGATTGGCGCGGCCTTAGCGAAAATACTCCTTTCGCTAAAATCGCTAAAATATCGCCGGCGCTAAAATTAGCTGTTTTGCAGTGCACACTAGAATATGGTTTTGGGCTTCTCTCATCTACTGAAACACATTCTTTGAACAGGGCTGAGGGAAAGCTCAGTGAACGCTTCACAGGGGCGTCGGAAGGTATTTTAGTGAGGGCCGGTCAACCATCTGAAGTACAGTTTATTCGTGGGGGAGAGGTGGCCGAGCCGAACATTTTGGAAATTTAGAGCCCAGATCAGTGTATTTTATCGATGCACGGGGTATCTGGGGCGAAACGTGGTACAGTCAATACCGTAGTGACCGTACCGTATCCGACGCCCCTGCTTCAATGGAGCTACAGCTGGACCAATAGAGCACGCACCTAGTGACCTGTGGCCTCAGTGTTCCCCTGGCTCAGTGTTCCCTGCCTCAGTGTTCCCCTGCCTCAGTGTTCCCCTGCCTCAGTGTTCCCCTGGCTCAGTGTTCCCCTGGCTCAGTATCCCCTGGCTCAGTGTTCCCTGCCTCAGTGTTCCCCTGGCTCAGTGTTCCCTGCCTCAGTGTTCCCCTGGCTCAGTGTTCCCCTGGCTCAGTGTTCCCTGCCTCAGTGTTCCCCTGGCTCAGTATTCCCCTGCCTCAGTGTTCCCCTGGCTCAGTGTCCCCCTGCCTCAGTGTTCCCCTGGCTCAGTGTTCCCCTGGCTCAGTGTTCCCCTGGCTCAGTGTTCCCCTGGCTCAGTGTTCCCCTGGCTCAGTTCAATACAAGCACACAACAAAGAAAACAGTCCCCGTGGAAACAGGTTGACATTGAAGAAAGCCCAATGCCGCATCACTGCAGTATTCTTCTGCCGGGATTGCTATAAAAAGTTCCAGTATGTTTGAAACCTAGCCTTCACCGTGACTGCACCAACTGAACTAGAGTGGCTAAACCCCTTGTATTCCATCGGCGAGTTATGGAGTACTTTATCATGGTTCGCTTCAAGTCAATATCAGAATTAAATTATTCCCGTAGCTATGCAGAAGACGTTACTTCAGTAACGTCTGGCGCTAGCCAGGGTCCACACAGCTTTAATTTGGTATTTGTGTGTTTGTTTGTTTGTGTCACGCCTGGCGCTATCCGTATCTGACGGCAAAAAAAGCATAGGGACGTCATAAATTTTTTCCTATTTTTCAGGCATATGCTGGGATTCGAACCCGCACTATCGCCCTACATGCATTCCCCCATACACTTCGCATTCATACCCATTCTTCCAAGTTGCTTCACGTTATGATCTTGCGTTTGAAAGCCCTATTTGAATATTGCTGGCAGCTGTATGTGGCCAGCTGTGTTTGATGGTACGGTACGGTACGGGAGACGGTGTCGTATTACCCTCGATCGTACCTGTCCCGTACCTATCCCCTACCGTACCGTGCCATCAAAGACGGCTGGCCACAATGCATATTCAAATACTAGTAGGGCTTTCAAATGCAAGATCACAATGTGAAGCAACTTGGAAGAATTAGTATGTATGCGAAGTGTATCGGGGGGTGCATGCAGGGCGCGCAATAGTGCGGGTTCGAATCCCAGGTTATGTCTTAAAAAAAAAGGAATTTTTAAAAGAATTTATAACATCCCTATGCTTTTTTTTGTCTAGGTCATCAAGGCAAAAAAGCATAGCGTAGGGCCCTGAGCTTCCAAGCTCTCTCGTCCATCATGTACAGTCAACTTTGCGTATAACGACACTCGGCGGGGCTAGACATCAAGCAGAAAAGAGAATCACTACTAACGGGGATAATCTGCAAGGGGCTTGGGCCATCATGTTTGTCTGTAAGAAGAAGCAGCGCTGCCATTGTCCGTGACTGTTGTGTTTCAGACTCGCCATCGCAATGTTGCCAGGTCTGCCAGCTGTGGAGGCTCGGCGTGCTCCAATACCAGGTCTCAGAATATTGCTTGCGTTGGCAGCGGTGGAGCAAGGAACTGTCAGGTTAGCTAGCTAACTATGATGCTAACTCTTACACATCCACCACCGTGCAGAACTCAACCTCAATAGTCATACCGCATTGTCAGTGCGACGCCAGTGTCTTTTAGGTTTTTATTATCTTCACCAAATGTTCGGCCATGGTTCATCACCAGGATGACTCCATATAAACAGCACAGAGATGAACGTTGAGGGTGAGAAGTGCACAGTATACGGGGCATGTTGAATTCTGCAAATTGTGCAAGAAATGTCTGCTGTACTGTGTAAGTTCTTGATGTATCCTGTTTCCTTCTGTCAACAGTGGGTTGTATTATCAACAGTGTGGTTTCTCTGCTAGCATGTACAATGAACTGTAGGTACTTAGTGGCTACCGTTCTCGTCATTTACACAAGCCCTGTCCATTGTTAAAAGAAATATTTCGATCATCAGGAGGCTCCGTTCTGATGTGATTCTCTTTCCCGTTTCAGGTCAATTCCTGGGGAGGCTGGGGTGGATGCTCGGTCTCTGGATGTGCTACTGGCGTGCGGTACCGTAATCGCTACGTGAGGGTCAATGCATATTGTGGTGGAGCCGCCTGCCCAACTCTCCTTTCTCACAGCACCTGTGGTGGCTGCTGCCCGACTAACTGCGTGTGGAACAGTTACAATTCATGGACTGGCTGCAGTGCAACATGCGGCAGTGGATCCCGGTAAGTTCCTTGCTGTAGCTGTACAGTCTGGGCCAAAGAAATTGCAGCATTTTTGGATTGGATTTTTGGATTGGTTTATTTAATGTCGAATCACAGGCAGTGTTGCCTTATTGCATAAAATCGACTAAGCATTTCCATTTCAATTACATCATGCACGGTCCAAAGACACATTTGAGGGCCTTTAGCGCTGCTTTCGAGTTTCGGCTCACAGATCGGATTTCGTTGGCCGTAAAAGTGTTTTTCACAATTCAGATAGAAGCATTACAGTGGTCTTGTGTGTAGCCTTCTTCTATTCAGATCATTATCAGTCCTGTTTCACTAGTCATTACATCATGGGTCCTAGAGTCCCAGTCATGACATCATGGGTTCCGGAGTCCCAGTCATGACATCATGGACTCCGGAGTCTCAGTCATGACATCATGGGTCCCCTGAGTCCCAGTCATGACATCATTGGCACTGTTGCCATGGCATGTTGCGAAATTCGATTCAAGTATTATTTGTGCACGTTGTTGCATATGGTTCTTGACTTGTAGAGTCCGATGTCTGATGTCATATAATCTAGTGTATGTGTGAGTAACGTGTGAGGTGTGATGCATATGGTATGTGGTACATGCAAGTGTACGCGTTGTCAGAAAGTGTATATCCAATATCTTAAACTGCTGCATTTTCTGTCCCCCACAGGTATCGTTATCGTTCAGTGAAGACAACAGCCTCTTGTGGTGGCTCGTGCGTTGGTTCTGGAACAGGCACTGAGGAGTGCACGCAAAATATTGTGAAAAACTGTGTGCTGGGAAACTGGGGTACATGGACACCTTGTACGAATCCATGCGGATCAGGTAAGCATGCTGTACGCTTGTAAGGTGCATGAAGTGGAGCTTGTACCTCATTATGACCACCTAATCTATGCTGAGCGGCCTGTTTTTGAAGATCACCCGTAAGAATTATAATGAAAAGTACAGACCTGCGTACAGGGCAGGTCGAGAACCACCTTTCCACTTCCATGGGACGCCACCACCTCATGATCAGGCATCAGATGCAGGTCCTAAGCGCTGCAGAGGAACTTGAGTGGATCACATCTGTGGAATGTTGCATGGTTGTTACTTGTTAGATATTGCATGAATAATTATTGCCACAAACTAATGGTTCGCACCAAGCAATTGATTATACAGTCTTCTTTCCATCGTGTCTTCTAAAGTATTTTACTTTCCTTTGCGCCATGGCACGCCTACTACGTTTCCATGGCCCTCATGTACGGCTGAAGCAGTGACACATTATGAAATCAAAATGATCTTCTTCAAACGTTTGCGGGAGTTGAAATGCTTTTGGTGCTGGCTTCTTTTGCCGTAGCCTGTGGTATTTAAAGATCTGTAGACAGTTCCAGGTTTGGGAAAAGTGGCACCGTGATGATTTTCTTTGCACATGGTGAAGTGGTAACTAGAATAGTGCTTTTCCGCTCAAGAAGGATACGTCGAGGTGTAATCATCTTTTGTCTGCAGGTACACAATCTCGTACCCGGCCAGTGGTTACACAAGCGCAATGCAGAGGAACATGCGGCTCCACCAACGGAAGGAAGATCTGCACCCAATACATCAACAAGGACTGCCAGGTATGCGGTGCTTTTCATTGAAGTCTTTTCCAAGCTAGTGAAGCACGATTGCAGATTACCTGCACAATTTGAAGCTAGAATTCTGAATCAGGACAGTTCTGTTACGTGCATGCTGCATTGCTTCACCATGAACTGAACAGGCAGAGTACAGTAGAGGGTTCTTCACATTGGCATCTCATTCCTTTCAGTTACTTGCTGTGCTGGGTGGTGAGGCATCATGGTGCAATGCAATTGTTTAGAAGAGTATCTCTTTGTCGTTGTTACTATAATCGAGTGGCACATTCGCACTACAATTCTACGAGTGCTAGTTTGAAATTACGTTATGAATTTGAGCAATTGTTACGTTGTACAGCAGGTACGAACAATTAATATTTACATACTCACCGGTTTTCGTTTCGGAGTCCCACACTGTGACTCAGCTAATTTCTATTTCGTTTGCCTTGTATCGTCTGACTAGGGGCGCTGTCACCCCGTCGGGTGCGAGCACCCGTGACAGAAGCACTTCACGACACAAGTGTTCATTTTCGTCTTTCCTCTTCTGCTTCTTCACAGTTTGAATGTGTGCTTTTTTCGTACTCTGCTCTCGATCGAACCATGCGCGGGTCGATCTCCATAATTTTATCTTCCGTTGCCATGACTGGCATTAGTACGCGTTCTGTACTCACTCGCTGCTTGGCACGCTTGCAGCGCGTCTTTTTTCTGTTGCAACCCAGTGCCTGCGTGCACGGTACGGGATTTGCGATGCCACATCAGCGTTGGTGTGTCGTTGTGCTTCGTTGTTGTTTTCTTTTGCTGAGTGTGGTCGTTAAAACTGAGCAAGAACGGGTCGTTGACAGGGCGTGGTTTCGATGTGCATGCCCTCCTGTCAACTCCAAACTATTGGTAGCAGAGGATGGTTATCACGGAGCCATCATGGAGGTAAAACTGGAAGACCTCGCACGGAAAAAGCGAGAGCTGAAAACGGATTTCACAAATACGAGGAGAAATTTGACAGTGGAGTCAACGAATGAGGTGCCGAACCAATATGACGTAAAGGCATGGAGAAGCCACTTGACGACAGTGTATGACGAGACCAAGAAGGTCATCATGGAGTACATGGAAGCGGTGGTGGACACTGACTCTAGGAGACATGCTGGTCTCCAGAAGCAGTACAAGCAGCTGGAAGGCCAGTATTCAGATGCCATGGAATTGGCCAGGAGTGTGCTCATCAGGAGCAGCAGAGCGAGCCTGGCAGCGTCGACCAGGCAGACTCCCAGTCCCAAGCAATCGCCACTGAGAGGGGCAACGCCGTTACTGGCGTCAGTGCGCGAGGAAAGCAGAGAAATTCTAGATCTGCGTGCGGCGCTCCAAGATGCACCGTTTCTTGGTCGTCAGGACGATACGCGGGTTATGTTGCCCAGGGCTGCAGACTATGGAGAACGGGTGAAAGTAGAGCTGGACAGTCGTGTTGTAATGTTCAGTGGTCAGCGTGTGGGGGAACCTGCCGAACCCTTCCCGACCGTTGCCATGGCAACCGCGTCAGCACACGCGCCACCGCAAACGGATATGATCAACAGCAATGCATGCACCGCTTTATCTGCAGCAGCCGCAGAGTACCAGCCACGTAGTTCAGTGCTGCCAGCGTCATTTGCAACTATGACCACGGGCAGCAACGCTCCCGCTATAAATCAGGAACAAGGCTCTGCCTTCCTGATCCACGATCCTGCTGATCAAACACCTAGTATGATGTATGCAACTTATGGCAACAATAGTGCTAGGCCGCAGCAGGCATACATGTACCAACAACAGCAACCGCAGTGGAGTGCTAGCAATAGTGCAGTCATGTACAACTCACCTGTGTCTACTGGACCGTCGCACACCATCTCTACTGGAGCGTCACAGTACGGTGCGAGACCCAGCGCTGGCATGCAAGCACCCCGGACCGCAGTATTCGCCCCAGTTCCGACATATGTCGGAGGCACCGCAGCTCGACCTGCCCCACGGACTGCTCCAGCGGCAGCTGCACAGATCAACATCGCCAGCAAGTTGAAGCGGATCGAAATTGCCGTGTTCACCGGAGAGAAGCGAAAATACGAGCGCTGGAAATCCGCTTTCAGCGTTTGTGTGGACCAGCAGCCGCTCTCCGCTGAATTCAAGCTGCTGCAGCTCCGACAGTACGTGGCGGGTGAGGCACTGGATGCCATCGAGAGTCTCGGCTACTCGGCAGCAGCATACCATGCTGCTCTGCGGTGGCTGGAGCGACGCTTCGGTGGGAGTCGCCGGCGCCTTGCGGTTAGGATGGAAGAGCTGGAACGATCTCCACCTATTCGATCCGGTAGAGCCCAGGACCTGGAGCGCTTTACCGATGTGCTCGACATGGCAGTGGTGACGTTAAAGGATGCCGGTATGCACACCGAGCTAGGTACCGGCATTCTCTACCAGCGGATCCAGCAGAAGCTGCCGGTGAACTTGTTGGCCCAGTATCGCCGCTGGATAGTACACCACCAAAAGGACGAATCGGTCGAGGTGCTGCTGGAGTGGCTGAATGCCGAGGAAGAAGTTCTTGCTGCCGCCACGGAAACTATCGAAGGCATCAGCCAGCAGCATCACGTCAGAAGCCAATTGTCAACCAGCGGGACAAGTCGAAATCAGCCGACTCGGACGGCAACTGCTCATGACGCTGTGCAACCGCGCACGACCACGTTCGTGACAGCTACAAACACCGCTGGCAACGTGCCGACCGCAAGGTCCACATGCCAATGCTGCAATGGTGGCGAGCACCCGATCTGGCGCTGCCCAGAGTTTGAGAAACAAACTGTAAGTCAGCGCTGGGCAGCAGCAAAGCGAAGCAAGTCATGCTATAGATGCCTTGCGACTGGGCACAGCGGCAAGGACTGCCCACGGGACCGGCAGTGCGGTATCAACGGGTGCACGCAGCATCACCATCGCCTGCTGCACAGTGAGCCCCGTCAACCGCCTCCAGCGTCGTCAACCCACGCCTCCGGAGAGACTGGAGCCATGCAGCCGGAGAACTTCAGTGCTGTCTCCCTTGGAAACAGCACGAAGGGAGAGGAGAATAGAGTACGGACGGTGACGTCGATTCGGACAGTTCCCGTTCCGCTATCCAACGGCAAGCGGTCGCTAACTGTTAACGCGCTGCTGGACGACGCCAGCACGCGCTCGTACATAGCGAGCAATGTTACGGCAGAACTCGGCCTGGTTGGATCAAGCATGTCGCTGACCATCGGCAAGCTGAATGGACAGCAAGAGACCATTCACACTGTCCCAGTATCGTGCACTCTGCGAAGTGTTGACGGAGCCACGTCGACGACTCTCCATGCGTGCACAATCGAGCAGCCAACAGGCAACATGGAAGTTGTAGACTGGCACCACCTGGGAAAGCAGTACGCACATCTAGCCAACGTTGAGTTTCCGCCGCTACCGTCGAAACGCCACATTGACGTGCTTATCGGTGCCGACTATCCGGAGCTTCACATGGCGTATGAAGAGCGCTCGGGTAACAGCCATGAGCCCGTGGCGCGTCGGACGGCATTAGGTTGGACCTGCATCGGCCAAGTACAACCAGCACACCCAGCGGCGAGCTGCTGCTTCACAATGTTCAGCGACGGTGACCTACAGAGCAGCTTGAAGCGCCTGTGGGAAATCGAAGAAGTGAACAGCAGCACTACGAAATTCATGTCACGCGACGACAAGGCGGCAGAGCAGAAAGTTGCAGCGTCGTTGAAGGTGCCGCTACTGAGTTGGCATACCCTGGAAATCCGAACGTCCAGTCATGCCTGAAAGCCGAGCGAAGGCACTCGGCCGTCTGCACAGCTTGGAGAAGCGGCTGCGACGTGACTCAGCAGCAGCAACAGCGTACAGCGATGTCATCCGCAAGTACCTAGCCAACGGGTACATTCGACGAGTGCCTGACAACGAGTGTGGAGGTTCTGTAAACGAATGGTACCTTCCACACTTCGCCATCATCCGTGAAGATAAGGCCACCACGAAGACACGTGTGGTTTTCGACGCAGCTGGCATCAGCAATGGTGTAGCGCTGAACGATGTTATCAGTGCTGGTCCCAAGCTGCAGCAATCGCTACCGAAGGTACTCCTGCGCTTCCGGCAGAACAAGGTCGCCATCATCTGCGACATCCAGGAGATGTATCTCCAGATATCCCTGGCTCCGGAGGACAGGCCCTTCCATCGCTTTCTTTGGCGGGATAACGAGCAGGAACCGGCCACATACGAGTTCAATCGAGTGGTCTTCGGTGTGAACGCGTCGCCTTTCCTAGCGCAGTACGCGGCTAGACACAATGCTCATCAGCACGCCGACACCTATCCTCGTGCAGCGGAAACGGTCCTTGAGTCAACGTACATGGAAGACTCCATGGACTCTGTTCGAAGCGATGAGGAAGGCGTTGAGCTCGTAAGGCAGCTGTCGGCGTTGTGGCACAAAGCCAGTATGCACCCGCGAAAAATGGCTGAGCAACTCCACGGCGGTGTTGCAGACCATCCCGGAGGAGGATCGCGCTGAGGAGATCAACCTCACGAAGGGAGAGCTGCCGAATGTCAAGACACTGGGAGTCCTCTGGCTTGCCAAGGAGGACCAGTTCACGTTCCAGCTGCAGCTGTCGGAGATCAGCTCAAATTCTACGAAGCGCGCATTTCTCAGTGCAACAGCAAGTTTGTTTGATCCACTTGGACTCCTCGCTCCGTACCTCGTGCAAGCAAAGGTCCTGCTGCAAGAGATGTGGCTTTGTGGAGCAGCATGGGATGAGCAACTGCCCCCAGCAATCGTCAAGAAGGTTCTCGGCTGGCTTGAGCAGGTGACGGAGCTATCAACAGTACGTGTACCACGCTGCCTGACGGCCACGGGACGCACAGCAATCAGCAGCCAGCTTCACGTGTTCTCAGATGCGTCCGAGGTCGCATACGGAGCAGTCGCGTATCTGGTCAGTCACTATGACACTGGAGAACCGACAGCATGGTTCGTCGCAAGCAAGGTCCGTGTGGCACCAGTGACTGCTGTCAGCGTTCCGCGGCTTGAGCTAATGGCGGCGACAACCGGAACAACGCTCGCCACATCATCCGCCGAGTCACTGAACCTCGACCCCCGAGCAACGTCGCTATGGTCGGACAGCAGCAACGTTCTGCACTGGATCACCAACTACAGCCGCACCTTCAAGCAGTTTGTGGCTAGTCGAGTGGGCGAGATTCAACGGCAAACCAATCCTACCCAGTGGCGGTACGTGCCCACCGCGCTCAATCCAGCCGACCTGGTCTCTCGAGGAATGTCAGTGCAAGAGTTGGCGGGAAGCAGTTTATGGTGGAACGGTCCCGGCTTCTTGGGTGCCGCTGAAAGTGAATGGCCTGTTCAGCCAGAATTGAAGCCCCGTCCGTCAACTCTGGAGTTGAAGAAAGTCAATCAACCGACGGACGAGTCCATCGAGCTGACTGCGGTGACCGTCGACCAATGCCACAGCGAGCTGAATCGTCTAGAGCCAAGCCGCTACTCCGACTGGGTACGAATGTGCCGTGTTCATGCTTGGTGTGTGCGATTCGCTACTAATTGCTCAGTACCACCCGCACAACGAGAGTTTGACGAATTATCACCACCAGCGATCCGAGACTCTGAGGAGTTCTACATCAAGCGAGCGCAGCAACAGTCGCTACCAGAGTATGCTGCAGTTAAGGCAGGCAAGCCGATCCCTGCAACCAGGAAGCTGGTCTCGCTCAAGCCAATGATTGACGACGCTGGCCTTCTACGCGTCGGAGGTCGACTACAGCATGCAGACTTCTTGACTGCAGAACAACGCAATCCGATCGTCCTACCACGAGGGGATCATGTGACACAGCTGATTGTCAAGGCATGTCACGAACGAGGATATCACGCGTTCGGTGTCAGCCATACGCTAGCCGAACTCTCATCGCGCTACTGGATCGTCGCTGGCCGCGAAGAGGTGCGAGCTTGGGAAGCCAAGTGTGCGAGGTGCGCCCGGAACCGTACGAAGCCGGCAATGCAGGTGATGGCGCCACTACCTAAGGTCCGAGTCAGCCTGCCGCTACGCGCATTCGGCCGAGTCTCTGCAGACTACGCCGGACCGTTTATGACGAAGCAGGGTCGCGGCAAGACACAACACAAGAGGTACCTGTGCTTGTTCACCTGCTTGCAGACGAGAGCAGTGCATCTCGAGCTGTCATACGCGTTGACAACGGACTCGTTCCTGCAGGCGTACGTACGCTTCACCAATCGACGGGGAGTACCGATCGACGTCATCTCCGACAATGGCACGAATTTCGTCGGCGCCACCAATGAGCTTGCTCAGCTAGTCAAGCAGCTTGATGCAGAGGCAATTCAGCGGCAGACAGCGGATCAGCAGACTAGCTGGCGTTTCAAACCTCCAGCAGCACCACATTTCGGCGGAGTGCATGAGGCGTTAGTAAAATCGGCAAAGCGTGCTATCTCGGCAATTCTGAAGAACGCGGAGGTCACAGACGAGGAGCTATTGTCTGCTATCGTCGGCGCGGAGGCGCTCATGAACTCACGGCCACTGTCCTACGTGTCGGCAGATGGTCGTGACCCGACTCCGCTAACGCCCAATCATTTCATGTATGGCCAAATCGGTACTCGGTTCGCACCTGCAGGAGTGGACGAGAGCGAGTTCAACCCTCGGCAACGCTGGCGTGTAGTGCAAGAACTCGTGCTGCACTTTTGGCGGAGATGGATGCAGGAAGTCGTGCCAGAGCTGAACCGGCGACTCAAGTGGAGGACGGTCGAGACAGACCTCAAGGTCGACGACATCGTTCTAGTGACATCCCAAGACAACCCACGGGGCATTTGGCCAATGGGTCGCGTCACCGAAGTGCACCCTGGTCCAGACGGACACGTGCGAGTTGTGAAGGTCAAGGTGGGCGACAAGACCTACACCCGCCCAATCGTGCGTCTTTGTAAGCTGTTCTGTGAGTAGCTCCTTGTTTGCCTATTTCAGAACAATATTCAATTTAAACAATCGACGAGGAGACAATAGTCGTAAAATGGCAATAAATAAGATAAATTGTGCACTCATAACAACAGCAAAAATGAAAAAGTCAAGTTCCATAACGTTTTCTTGTGACTGTCATCAGTGGAACGCCGTCACATAAAAATGTAATAACTAAAACACACACTTATATACATGTAGCTAATATGGTTTCAGGTAGAAATACAGCAGCTAACAAGTACAAAAAGCGAAGTTTGCAAACTTCGCTTTTTGTACTTGTTAGCTGCTGTATTTCTACCTGAAACCATATTAGCTACATGTATATAAGTGTGTGTTTTAGTTATTACATTTTTATGTGACGGCGTTCCACTGATGACAGTCACAAGAAAACGTTATGGAACTTGACTTTTTCATTTTTGCTGTTGTTATGAGTGCACAATTTATCTTATTTATTGCCAATAATCAATTTCGAATTTTTTGGTCACTGTGAATTCCGGCACAGTGAGAAGGGAGAGAAATGTTTAGAAGAGTATCTCTTTGTCGTTGTTACTATAATCGAGTGGCACATTCGCACTACAATTCTACGAGTGCTAGTTTGAAATTACGTTATGAATTTGAGCAATTGTTACGTTGTACAGCAGGTACGAACAATTAATATTTACATACTCACCGGTTTTCGTTTCGGAGTCCCGCACTGTGACTCAGCTAATTTCTATTTCGTTTGCCTTGTATCGTCTGACTAGGGGCGCTGTCACCCCGTCGGGTGCGAGCACCCTTGGACAGAAGCACTTCACGACACAAGTGTTCATTTTCGTCTTTCCTCTTCTGCTTCTTCACAGTTTGAATGTGTGCTTTTTTCGTACTCTGCTCTCGATAGAACCATGCGCGGGTCGATCTCCATAATTTTATCTTCCGTTGCCATGACTGGCATTAGTACGCGTTCTGTACTCACTCGCTGCTTGGCACGCTTGCAGCGCGTCTTTTTTCTGTTGCAACCCAGTGCCTGCGTGCACGGTACGGGATTTGCGATGCCACATCAGCGTTGGTGTGTCGTTGTGCTTCGTTGTTGTTTTCTTCTTTTGCTGAGTGTGGTCGTTAAAACTGAGCAAGAACGGGTCGTTGACAAGGCGTGGTTTCGATGTGCATGCCCTCCTGTCAACTCCAAACTAGCAATCGATGGCATCCTTTAACACAGTGGAGATGAATTGCGCAGGATGTGTCCTACACCAGTGAATTTCACCCTATTCATCACTTGAAGGAGGAGAATATCACTATAATGCCCAGACATAGCTTGGCACCTGTTCACATACTTTCTTGCAAGTACCGCATTTTCCGGAGTACAAGCCGCACTTTGAACACTCACATTTCACCCAAAAACGGGGGTGATAAGTACGATAAATGTGTGTATGTCGTGGCAAAAAATGGGGTGTGCGCTGCTTATACTCCAGTGCGGCTTATACTCGGGGAAAAATATGGTATTTCAGCACTCGGGGAGACTTTCATCGGGATCTGCTAGGCCGGTACACTGGGGTGGGCACTTGCAAGCCTAGTGTGTTCTGCACCTCTGTTATAACAAGTTTTCCTATGAACACATTGAACTTTCACTTGAACGGAGACTCCCTTGATTTAGGCTAAGGCCTGTGGAGAATCCATAAATACAAATACAAATACAAAACCACTCAGAAACCACTCAGAAACCACTCAGTGCCAACCAAGTGAATAATTATAGGAGCTCCCGATATCCTACTTCAGTAGGAGGTTTTTCTTCTTGAAATAGATTCTTGTTGAAGCTCTACCTGGATTGTGTTTGTTGCTGTGTTGTCTCGCCGCCAGGTTACTGATTGGGGTGGATGGACTGCGTGCAGCGAAAAGTGTGCCGTGGGAAAGAACTACAGATATCGGAGGATTACTTCTGCTCTTGTGTGTCAAGGAAAATGCCCATATGCGCTCACAGTAAGCATGGAGCATGGGAAGAATGCATAGAAAGGCTCGCATTTGACTTCTGCACTGAGCAAGGCTTGTCTTCAGTTTTCCGGGAGTGGCCTTCTGTTGTTGCTCCCGTGCCTTCTGTCTACGTTGATGAGAGATTCTGTGTGAACTTGGCAGACAACGCAAGTGTTACATATTACCAGCCATGCTCAGGTCTTCTTATTACTTAGCCCTTAAAAAAAGCTTAGAAAGAGAGACTAGAGCGCATGAATGAATGAGATGAATAGTATGGCTTTGTGACGGATGTCTTTCCTTTCCCCGCTGCACGCTATCATTGTAGGACTCGAAGGACTGTGGAACTGCTAATGGCTGCTGTGAGCAAAACTGTAATAATGGTATGTGCTCCTGCAAACCTGGCTACAAGAAGAGTGGATGCAAATGCATTGCTATCAGCTGCGGGGCTCCTGCAGTCGGGTCCTACTGTCCTACTGGCAAAACCTGCAAGACACCAACGTATACCTGTACCGACAGTAAGTCAACTGATCTATCCTGCATCCAGCGGAGTATCCACTTATGTTCTCCTTGACACAGGTGTCGCATTGTATTAGGGACTAGCTGTAAAGTTCGACTTTGGCTTGCACAGCGCTGTTCATGTGTGCAATGTCAGTATATGACTGATTGTATTGATGACAGTGTATGATTGTGCCCTGGAGTATCCTCTACACTCGTAATTGACAGTACGAGTAATTGACCTTGCGGACATGATGAATTTGCGTATAGTTACAGTCAAACCTCGTTAGGACGAACACTGATAAGGCGAACTTTCCATTAGTACGAACTAAGGCCAATCCTATGGTTGGCCAGGCATCAATTCAAGTCAAAATTATTCGTTTACGACGAACTTCTGTACAGCGAACTTTCGCGAAGATGAACTATTCTCAAGTGTGATTTGAACAAAGTCAGTGTGGTCATGTACATGTAGTACGAACTTTCAGTCCACGAGCGTGCGCATGCGCTGGCTGCTTTTTTTTTCTTCTTTTTTTCAATAGTCGAGGTCATATTGTACGTACAGTGCAAATTGCTTTCAAGCGTGTTTTGAACAAATCAATCAGTGCGTTGTAGGAACCTTCGACACAGTCGTGATTCATTGCACTTTGTCATTGTACTTACCTGTTTCTGGCTTATGCTAAGAATGACATGCTTCCCATGTCCACGTTTACCACAGCATGCACCTTCACGTAAATACAATCCATCTGATATGCATATCGATTTTTGGTCAGATCTGGATAAGAAGAACTCCCGATAAGACAAACATATTAATTTTGTTCAGTCCCTTGAAGTTCGTCCTAACGAGGTTTGACTGTATACTGTCGCCTCTTTTAGCATCATCCTTTTCTGTAAGTCGGTTTCGAAATGGTATAAACCTAACAGCACCATGTGTTTCCCTCCCATCCTCAAGTCCATGAGTGGTTATGAGCTATCGGAAGACGTTTGACTTCCAATAGAAATCTATTTGTATCTAGACTCTGGGGTATAGTGACTACTGATGGGAACAGACCATATGGGTTAGATGCATGGCACCTTTCTTGATATCTACACACTAGGGTACAGAGACTACTGATGGAAAATACCACACAGTGTTTTAGATGCATGCACCTTCCTAGATCACCTGATTGCTCAGTGTTGAAAAAAGGGCTAGGTTTCTCTGTTTTCATCAACTGACCATGAGCTGGGGTTTCATTGAACTCTCTACGAAGCCCCGCAAGTCCCCGGTTGTCTCTGGGAGGACGCTATGTGGATAGTCCGTGATATGCTCCAATGTGCGTCATTTGTGTTTTACCTTCAAAGCTCAATACTTGTTCCTGTCCATGTGCTCGTTCACGTGTCCGAGTGGATACGGTTTGAATGGTGGTTCATCGGTCGTCATCTGCCAGGCCAGTCTAGTCTGGACAGACCATAGCCAAACACACTGTGAGCTGCTGAACAAGGCACCAACAAATGTGAGTACTCTCTTTGTGTGTGGGTGCGAAGCCCATGGCTTGTGTGCCAACAAACCGTTCTCCAATATGTTCTACCGAATTCTTATGTCTGGTCCTAGCCTTTGAAATCTCCTTGCACCCCCCCCCCTTCTTCCACTCTGTAAGAGAAGCGTTGGTATACCCCACCACACATGTTAGCGTGTGTAGTCTTGCAGTGCTCCAGAACATAATTTTTTTTACTATTTTAGGAGTGACTATCACCTGTCAGCAATGGTTCTTCGATTGTAATAGCAGCTGCTCTACAGAAGGACTCGGATGGAGAGCCAAGGATAAATTTATAGAACAGGAAAAGGAGCAAGGGAATACAAGTTACGCTATAGTAGCTCAGTCGGTCAGTGTGGTGCAATGTTATCGCATGAGCTGATTGTTTTGTAACTTGATGGTGTTAGTGGACATTATAGCGTAACTTGTAGTTCCTTGGTCCTTTTTTCTTTTCTGTAGATCTACAGATGGTTGATCATTCTCATGAAGAGTGACTTGGTCTGAAGCGAAAAAATTGCGAAACAAATCCGCATACTTCAAGTACTTCAGTAAAGTAGCGAATTTATTATTTGAAGTGCCTAATCCAACTTTTTAGAATGTGAGAATAGCATCTTAGGAGAGAATTTGTCAGCTGACAACCCTATTCTTCCTGTGGACTGTAGATTGGCCTGTCGAACACCTATATCAAGGAGAATTCTCCAAGTGGAACCGCGGTCGGATCGTTCACCACTAACGATCCCAATCCCAGTGACACACATTCCTACACACTTGTCAGCTCCGCACCCGGAAAGTTCTATATCTCTGGCAGCACCCTGTACATTTCGTTTGTTCCAAACTACGAAACCCAGGCAAAGTCGTGAGTTGTGTGCTGTGTGCTGTGTGTGTGTGTGTGTGTATGTGTGTATGTGTGTCCCATATGGTGCAGTGGTATGTGCAGCGATTTCCAATCGATAGATTCACAGTCACATTACCCCACTCTGCGCGTAGCGGCACAGTCCCATTAAGGCTTTCACAGGGTACACCTACTATAGGTGTTGGACAATAGAAATCACTACAGTCCATTCAGAAAAACATGATACCCTAGCTTTTGGCCATAAACGGGTCAAATTTTGAGTTTTCGTAACTTTTTTTGGCAATCTCCCATGGAATGCTCTTCCAATTGTGTTTTTGAAGTATACTTCTCCAAAGAGCAAGCCATAACGAGAATAGGATTTCGGCCAGGTTTTGCCCCCAAAGCACTGAATTGGGGAAAAGCCATGAAAATCCAGGCCGCTCACTCCACTTGCATAACAGTACATTTGCGGTTCGAACCCCAATTGAGGTACTATTTTTGGACCCTTTTTCAAGTTTTGAATCTCGCGGCAATGCACAGTGTACGACAAAATCGCCAAATACGGGAGCTCTCCAGAGCCAGCGCTCATCTTTTTTTCTGAATGGACTGTACAGCCTGCTAAAAACCATGCTAGACACTTATGTTACCATTCTGGCACTGCTTAGCTGTCCAGAGAAGATTATCTCGTGAAGCACTCTTAAAAAAGTTATGATCTGGCCAGGCCAGAGGCAGAGCGGACTCGTGCAGTGTTGAAGACGTTCAAGTTTCTCTCCCTCTATGCCCATGCAGGTATGCGATTGATGTGAAGAGTACAGACTCCGGGGGCATGTCGTACACTAAGAAGTTCACGATCACCATCCAAGATCTCAATGAGAAGCCAACTGCGTGCCAGGTGAGACCCCTGTTCATCCTGTGCAGCACATCTCTCTAAAAACAAATAAGCATTGCAGATCCGCATACAGGGCAGGTCAAGAACCACACTTCCACTTCCGTGGGACACCACCACCCCACGATGCAGCTAGTTAATGGTGGTATAGCATGGATGAGATCCACCAGCCAGAGGCCAAACTGGGTTGAAATCCCATTTGCCACATCCATGTTACCCTTGTGCGCAATCGTTCCCAACTCACAGTAGTCGGGAGTGATTTGATAAATTAATGATAATGCTTGATGTGTACAAGGTGATGACAAAGATTGTAATTTGATATGCTGTCATGGACAGGGCCGGTCGAGGCAGCGTGAATAGAGTGCTCGAAATGTGCAAAGCAATAGTAGTTGTATTTCTCGCTGGCAGAGCGCAGCGAGATAGGCGAGAAATGATTTCTCGCGAAACATTTTCAGTTGCAAATATGGCATCTGGTGTGTTCTTTATTGTCGATTCTTTTCCTGACTTCTTCAGTCAGTTTTGAGTCTCACCAGTGTCCCTGCCCTCCCACCCTTCATTTCTGTGCATCTTATCATTGCTTTTTGTATCAGGTTTTGCCCCCGTGATGTGCTTGCCATGCATACATGATGATTTTAAATCGCCATTGCGGTTTTTTCCCTCACAACCGCGTCCGTCGGCTGCGTCCGTCGGCGCGAGGGTTTTTTTTCCCCGGCTGGCTCGGTCCAGGAAAATTAATCTGACGGTCCCAAGAGGTTCTGCATCATGGAGTATTTCTGCTATCCACTGGCATGCCTATTCTATCTGAGACACTCTGTTCTCAGTCCTTGCTTCTATACCTCACTCGTTGTCCGGTTCACATCTGGCTGCGGCCAACTACCACTGGGGATGTGTTAGAGCTAGATCTTATGTCGTTGAATGTCTCAGTAGCCTGTCAGTTTGTGCCCTGTTATCACACGTCCTGACTGCTTATTATCTTGTTACAGTCGTGGATAGTTGCTTCGTAACTCGTGCCCATGTGTTTTCTTCTTCTATTTTACAATAGTAGTATTTTTTGTGTCATATGGTCATGTATCTTCCACCTTGATGAATAATCAAACATTCCTTGTCGGTGATAGCAAGCAAGTCTTCATAAGTATATGATTTCATTAGTACGAGCATGCTAACTTTCTTATTTCCCTGACAACCGCTAATCTCTCTTGTAGTTGGCTAACACTCACTGCGCCTTAAAATGTTGCAATAGATTACTTCAGAGTAATACAATTATAAGATAATAATGAGCTTTCTGTTTTCTTCTCGCAGCTGTCTTCTACAACGGTCCAGGAAAATCCAATGCTGAATACTGTCGTTGGCGCTATTAAAACATCTGACCCGGACACGGCTCAGACATTTAGATACTCACTCCTTGACTCGGCTGGCGGACGATTCAAACTGGACGGGAGCACTGTTAAGGTAGGAGTTGGTACTGCTGCTACGATCTAGTCATGCTTGTATTCATTATTGGCACATGCATAGGCAAAGTAATGTTCGACCCTTCAGCTACAGTAACTGTTCTTCTTAGAATCTGAGCGGAGGGGTGCGGTTGTGCTAGTTACTGTACATTGGTGAAAATTGCATGATGGCGGCATACCCGACTTCTGGATATACGTATGGTCCTTCAAATCTTGATGGCTTGTGTGTTTGGCTCCTGCAAGGTGCTAGCCACGGTGTAGTTAGTTATCTGGGGGCAGCTCCCTTGGTCATTTAACGTTATAGTACGGTGTGGGAACATCGATTAGCAAACAAGTCAGAAAATAATTTTAATGGAGCTCTCTAGGCGGCAATTGTCTCCTCTCAAGGTATCAAGAGAGGCCAAGATACACTTGAGAAATTCCGCTGGTTGGCAACTCCCCAAAATTCACTTGTGATCATTGAAAGGTTGATGCTAGTTGGAAAAAGCAGACATTGTTTTTGACTAGTTCCTCTCTGACCATCTGCCCAGGTTGCAGTGCCATCAAGTAGATGTATTGCAGATGGTGGCACGGCGTGCCTGTACAACTTTGAATCGGCCACGCTGAATCGATTCACCATCACGGTACGCACCACTGACAGCGGCTCACCAAGCCTGTACTATGACTGCAAACTGACAATCGACACACGCAACATCAACGATCAGCCCAGAAACCTGCAGCTAGCCGGGTACACTATCAAGGAAGGCAGTGCCATTGACACCAGAGTCGGTAAGAAAAGCACAGCTACGAATGCAGGCCAGCCGATTGTTTCCTGCAGCCTTTTTCACTAGCATGCTATTCAAGCAATTCAAGTTACTAGGATTCAGTGTTACAAAGGAGAAGGGAAATGACTTATGCTGTAAAGATTTCGGTTTTTATCACTCACAGCATAACTGTAATCACCGAGAGAGGCTTACAACAGTAATCTGCAAAATAGAACAGCCACAGTACATGTCTATAACAATGTCTGCATTGACGGTTTCTCTGTACACCCTGGTTGTCAGTGTTGTCACTATCTCAGTGGTATCCTGCAGTTGTGAGTGCAGAGATCTCCTGCTCAGAACACCAGCTAGCAAAGATGACTCCACAACTGATAGATCTGTCCCTGGCTTCATTAATTTGTGAAAGCTCCTTTTCTTGGTTCCACTATCGGTATGATAATGCGTACCATTTTTTCAACATAGGCTTGCATTTCTAGATATGCGCAGACTCCACTGTAGCCATCAATAGGCTTGCATTGTACTTTCTGATAGGTGAAAAGCGATGACCGCGTGGTGTAAAAATCTCAATTTCCAACATACCCGAGCTCTTCCCCCCCCCCCCCCCCCCCATTCGGTTTGGAACTGTTTTACTCTCTCTCTCTCACTCAGTAGTTCTCTCTCTCTCTCTCTCTCTATCCCATTGCGCAGGCACTCTTTCTTCCTCTGACGAAGACATTGGTCAAACAGTAACGTATTCAATTGTTGATGACGATGGTGGAAGTTTCAAAGTATTGCAGAACAAGTTCATTGTTGCGGCCAAGGTGGCTAACTTTGAAACAAAGACAAGCCATCACATTACTGTCAAGGCAACTGACAATGGATCACCTGCGCTATACGTAAGTTTTAGTCAATTGAACATTTAAAATATGTTGGCGCATCGCCAAGCATCCGTGCGCTGCAAGTATACTATGAGAAGTGAGAGTGTGAGGTCGATTGCTCATTCGGATTCCGGCAGTGAAACCTGAATTTTGAGGTTTTCTAACACTCAGGGGCTGTCCGCATGATTTGTGAGGACCTGTAGCTGATGTTGTGTGCGTGTGCATGTGTGTGTACTTTCTATTTGAAGTATATATACCTGTTAACCATGGACTGCTTCTGGCTATATTAACTCCTGTGCAATCCACGGTTCTAGTGAAGCTTATATCAGATCCACTCTGATTTGCCACCCACACTAGTAGAAAGTATTACCTTCACTGAGGGCAGGGGTAACTGCAGTTGGATCCCGGGACATCAATCCTTTTTCTGCACCGTGTCCTCACCCACTTACTGCGGTGTGGTGAGCCCATAAGTGGGACCATTTCCAATTCCACCCATAGTTTGGGGATTTCAGGGGGGGGGGGGGGAGGGGGGGTGTCGGCCGTTGGGCGGTTCAATAGCCTATTGAGTCATCTTTGTAATACTCCTTTTGAGCCTCTCTCCCCTCTCCCAGGGAGACCCACACAACCAATTTTGGCCGTGAGCAAGTACAAGTGTGTGTGTGTGTGTGTGTGTGTGTGTGTATGTATGTATTATGTGTAGGTGGGTGTGTGCGTGCTTTGTATGTTTGTTGTTCTTGTGTTCTGCTGCTATACAGGTCCAGAAGGACTTCACTATAACTGTACTGGATGCCAAGGAGGCCCCAGTGTCAATTCAGTTTACTTCCACTGGTTAGCAAGGCCCGGCAGTGGCTATACTTTTAAACCCACTTCTATTGTACTGCTATGTATTCTGTGTCGGTTTCCATTGCAGCTTGACCTACATGCACGGTACACACCTTCCTCGATACTTACAAGTAGATAGACATAACAAACTTTTGACACTCAGTTTCCATCCATGCAAGAAAATTACAATTCTTCTATACTCGTATATGGACATTTTGCAACTCAGACTATTCTGTATAAGGCAGGTTACTCCTTTCCAAAGATGGTTTGTGTGAAATAGTAGGTGAATGCATGGCAGAGAGGCTAACAAAAGCGTACATGGATGTGTTGCTTATACTCTCCAAACAGGTGCTCAGACTAGCTTTGGAACCAACAGCCCAACGATCAAGGAAAACGCAGTGAAGAACACGGTTGTGGGGACAATTGTTGCTTCCGACCCGGATCTCAATGCTAAGCTTACATTCAGCTTGGACGATAATGCAGGCGGTCGGTTTGCATTAGACGGCGCTAGCAACGTGGTGTGCAAGGCTGCATCGGCATCGGATCCCGTGAGTACCTGCCTTTGTGTACTTTATAATATATACATCTACTAGTCAAGATCTACATAATTGAGTTCATAATAATTGTAAAGTATTGCAGCAGTTAGGCTGTAGCTGTCCATCATCCCTTGCACCAGTGAATGATATGAGAGAAAGAGAGACGGAGAAAGGGTGAGAGACGGGGAGTAAGGGTGGGAGAGAGAGATAAATAGAGACAAAGACAGAGAGAGAGAGAGAGAAAGAGAAGAGAACGGAAGAACGAGATGAGGCGAGGGGAGGAAGAGAAAAGAAGAGAAAAAAAGAACAAATGGTGAGATGTTTGTTGATGGATGATGAGGTGAGAGAACTGCACAGACGTCACTAGGGAGAGAAGTACAGTGCTGCTCAATGAAATCCAGTTGCGAAAGTCAAGCTGGCGCCTTGCACCTTTTCGCAGCCCAGTGTTTCAAAGTGCAGGTCTAGGGCTGAGCAACGCCTGGCGTGTACTTGAGAAACTCGAATGGATTTCATTGAGCAGTACTGGAGATGCAGCAGTAGGTATGTCCTCACCCGGGTGTAAAGAGGCATAGTTACTGCCATGCTAGGTATGTCCTCACCCGGGTGTAATGAGGCATAGTTACTGCCATGCTAGGTATGTCCTCACCCGGGTGTAAAGAGGCATAGTTACTGCCATGCTAGGTATGTCCTCACCCGGGTGTAAAGAGGCATAGTTACTGCCATGCTAGGTATGTCCTCACCCGGGTGTAAAGAGGCATAGTTACTGCCATGCTAGGTATGTCCTCACCCGGGTGTAAAGAGGCATAGTTACTGCCATGCTAGGAAGGACGAGCACCAAGTATATCCATTAAACCTCTTCTATAAGAAAGCGGAAGGAATTTTTCCAGCCGTGCTGCGACCCACAGTTAATTGGGAACTCGTGGCCTGGCACGAGGGTAACATGGATGCAGCTAATGGGATTTCGGTCTTTGACCACTTGGTGGTGGGTCTGATCTACTCACCTCCCACCGTTTAGGCGCTGCATCTGCGCCTTTGATCCTAGAGGGTGGTGGCGTTCCCACAGCGGATGTGGAAAACTGGGCTTCCAGCCGAGTCTCACGCGAACCGTGAAATTTATTTTTTATAAGACACAGTCATTATGGAACTAAATATTGCGACAGAGCTTTCGGCCATATTTTCAATTCATTGCATTCCCAACTCATCACAACCACGCGCTCTTCAGCCGAACCATACAGACACCAGCAAGGACACTTCCGTTGAGAGATAATAATTATTGCTCCACGCCTCTAGACAGCTGTTTCGCTCCCTGTCGGAGCTCATCAGTAGAGGATGATAATGATGATAATGGAGGAATGATCATTCTTATACACCAGAAATGGCGCAAGTGCGCGCTTTCCACATATATCAATGGCATATGCAAGCTGCTAAAATGGTAAAGTGTGAGAACAGCGATAAATAATCATAGTACGCGCTCATTGGTGGAGAAACACACCACACAGGCGACGAAAATCTTACGCGGAATACTGATGCCAAAGGAAAGTACATGTATGTTGTTTATTATTATGATGTTGCAATGTCCATGTATGCAGGCCAGGCGAGACTCACCGCCGAGATCCCCTAACGCGACAGGCTCGGTTGCCGTTCAGGATTCACACCGACCTGTCCGCCCAACAACAGGATCGACAGCGGGAGGCCCCACTGATGCCGATGTCGATGCACACCAGGAAACTTGTAGTCCTGAGTGTGATACTAACACGTCCATCGGCAACCACTGCCGATGGACGTGTTAGTATCACACTCACGACTACAAGTTTCCTGGTGTGCATCGACATCGGCATCAGTGGGGCCTCCCGCTGTCGATCCTGTTGACGGGCGGACAGGTCGGTGTGAATCCTGAACGGCAACCGAGCCTGTCGCGTTAGGGGATCTCGGCGGTGAGTCTCGCCTGGCCTGCATACATGGACATTGCAACATCATAATAATAAACAACATACATGTACTTTCCTTTGGCATCAGTATTCCGCGTAAGATTTTCGTCGCCTGTGTGGTGTGTTTCTCCACCAATGAGCGCGTACTATGATTATTTATCGCTGTTCTCACACTTTACCATTTTAGCAGCTTGCATATGCCATTGATATATGTGGAAAGCGCGCACTTGCGCCATTTCTGGTGTATAAGAATGATCATTCCTCCATTATCATCATTATCATCCTCTACTGATGAGCTCCGACAGGGAGCGAAACAGCTGTCTAAGGCGTGGAGCAATAATTATTATCTCTCAACGGAAGTGTCCTTGCTGGTGTCTGTATGGTTCGGCTGAAGAGCGCGTGGTTGTGATGAGTTGGGAATGCAATGAACAATCATTATGGTGTTGGTCTATACACTCTGCATGTCTAGAGTGTATTCCTGTTTTGTCTCCAAGCTTGACAGCCGTACTTTGTATGATCTGTGTGTTTGTGTGTGTGTGCGTGCGTGCGTGCGTGTGTGTGTTGGATTCACTGGCCAGAAAAAGCCACTTCCTAACTGTGTGATGTAGACCAGGCTGAAAAGTGGCGGTCAATTTTTCAGCCCTGCAAGCTGTTGAATGGTACAATCCCAGTTCAAGTTGCTATGGCTTCTGCTGTAGCATCGCTATCATTGCCTCCAGCGATGGGCGTCAAATGGTCAAATGGTGTGTGTTGGGATATTGTGTCCTGTGCAGACTGCAGAAACCGTGTGCTCCGTCAGAGTTCTTGTATCTGGCATTCTCAATCATGAACTAGACGCTCTGCACACTATCATAGTCAGGGCTACCGACAACCATGGCCTGTTCAAAGTTCAGAAATTCTCCATCACGATTCAGGATGTGAACGACATTCCGCACGTACGTAATGAATGCTGCTGTACCAAGTCACAGCATTCCGGTTCGAGTAGACCAGGCTGTCTTTCCACATTATTGTTCTGTATACTTGTGGTTTGATTCGCAATCAGATCTGACCTTGATCAATGCCATGTCTGCCATACCTACAATGCTGATTTTCTAGATCTGTACTTGTACATGCACACTTGACTCTGGTATAGCAGATTTTCACATGTTTTCAAGTCATGTCGTGTACAGTGGAACTCAATCAGTGTTAGTATGCACTCTGATTCGCCATTCTCTTGCTTAGTACGGACACTGGCATATCGATCCAAACTGAAGTGTGTTGGAATAAGTAGTACTTAAACTGTCTTTGGATAGCAAGTACACTTTGGATACTAAGTACACCTTGGATAGTAAGTACTTCAGTACACTTATTGCTGCCTATGGGGTGTGTTTAATCAGAGTTCTACTGTATGCCATGCCCTCTCTTCCAGGACATAATTAGTGTCGGTGGTGCACCACATGTCAAGGAGAATCTCAACAACTTTGTCATCACGTCGTTCCTGACCAAGGACCAGGACCCGGCGAACACGCACACCTACACGATCACCTTGGACCCGGATAACAAGTTCAAGATGGTCGGGTCTCGTCTGATGACCACTGCCACGGCTAACTTGAACTACGAAGCTAAATCATCGTATTCCATCGTAGTCCGAGCTACAGGTAAACAGGGGCATTCCTGGTCTTACATGATTGTGTGCATGTTAACGATTGGTATCCTGGAATATGGCCAGCCTAGGTCGGGATTGTGGTCTGGAAACTTGTCAAGAAGAACAATAACAAGGAAAACGTCCCATGGAGACAGCCATACGAGACTCCACTTGTCCAACTGCTGCACACCCACAATATGTATGAAGTATGGAAAGTGAAGTTGCCTCGTGTTACTGATGTTTGCTTGTTTAGTAACTTCTTTCCATTCGTGCATTATTGTGTTGCTTACAGATAATGGCATACCAGCTCAGTTCTACGAGAAGACCTTCACAATCACTGTTAATGATGTCAACGAAGTGCCAACTTCAGTGTCACTCACCGGCAGTAAAGGTATTTAAAAAATACTTTTCCCATGGCTGGGTATCGCCCTCATCTCCGGTGCTGCTCTCCATATTAGTGTTGCGTGCACATGCTACGAGATTGAGTTGATTAAAAATAAAAATAAAATAAAAAATCCGTTTGTTCTACACTCCGTGAACCAGGATACAGCCATCATAGCAGAGCGGTCTGTCTGGAATCACTATGCTCAAGTATCATGTATGGGGTGCTGTTGCCTGTCGGAATTCTATGCGGGTTGCTTCTTCTTTTAGTGCTGGGATATTGTAACACTCTTGCTCTCAAAGGTACACAGTTACGGATTGTAAGTTGTCCATTGACAAGGAGGAGAAGAAGACGAAGGCTTAGTCTGAGTATGGGCACAGGTTACCATGTATACCTACTGTGCACTTTATTTTATGTGTGTACTAATTACGTGTGATACAGTACCTATTCTACAGTACAGTCACCACCCACCGGATCCCGTAATATTTGTGTGTCTGAACAAGGCAAAAAGGCAAGCGCCTTTAGTTAGCTTGATGGGCTTCAGCACATGTACTTCAGGGCAACATTATCACGATGGGTTCTCATGCCACCAACCATTTCTAGGTCTTAACCTTCTCCCGCACAACCTTACACTGAATGGCAATCTCACGTAGCCATCGATGTACTGCACTGTATGTCCTGCCATGTTCACTGTTCTTTGCTTGGTTTAGGTGAACGAAAATTCACCGCTGGATGAAATCATTGGCTCGCTCCCTCTATCGTGATGGTGAAGTGGAGAGGGTGATTTTCTTCCTCTAGGCTTCGTTCGGCCGACTTTGCTTCGTCCTCGTTGAAAAGTGATCCTGAAAAAAGGTCGATTCGCAAAATTATGTTGATTTTTCAATGTACGTGATGACATGCGATTGCTGGCTATGGCTCCGTAATGTCTGCAAGCGTGACTGTAACTGGGCTGTGTGTGAGTGTTTTTCAACACTGAGAACTGGACGCTCAAGGCACCCTTCCCATACTTGCCAACCCAGCCAAAGCAAATCCCTTAGTCACACACCCAGTTTCCTTTAATTTTCTCTCATTTCCCTTATTTTCCTGGTTTTCGCCAATTTCGGCCATTTTTCTCTTTTTTTTTGGCAATTTTCGATTATTTTTGCGTATTTTTCCGCAATCTTGGGGCAATTGTTTCCTTTCTTTTTATTCATTTATAACCCATTGCTCATTGGGGGACCAAAATCTGAGTTTTGCTATTGTCAGATCGCTCCTACATGTGTGATTTTGTGAAATGCAGGGCCGCATGTGCCCTTGTCACAACACAAGACAACCGTTTTATGAACACTCATGGTTCAGTGCCAATACCAGTAGTTTTTCGATCAAAGTCAAAAAGCCCCGGCATGCCGGTAGTGACCGTAGTTTCCCGGTATAATACCGGGAAAACCGGTATGGTTGGCAAGTATGCCCTCGTGCGCAGAATGGGCACTTTCCATCGGCATGTGTTCGCACGATCCCGAGTACTATTCGAGACCAGCAATGGCATGAACATCTATCAAATGCAGACTTGGCAAAGCACAGAGGCATGCCAGCTTTGCTGGGGAGGAGTCCATCCGTGTGAATTATCTGCGTTGGCTTGGCCACCTCGCAAGGATAGATGACTCCAGGCTTCCACAACAGATCCTGACTTGGGGCTCCCCGCATGCTAGCACGTGAAGTGTGTGGGTTACAGCGAGGGTTGCATCTCGCTCACCTGTGTGGATTCACAGGAAGTGCGAGTTACGAAATACGAAGAACATTTTGAACGGTCTCCGCTGGGATGACAGGTAGACCATAGTAGGGAGTTCAGTTCCGGACACTGAAAAGCGGAAAATGCAGTCACAGCTCGCCTGTACAAAGTGAATGGGCGCCTCGTGACTGCAGTTCGAGATGCAGTTCGAGGCCCGAGTATCTTCTCCCGCGGCTTTTTCGGCCTTGTCGATGCTATTTTTAGGTAGCTGAGGTCATTACCTTTCCACATGCCATGCTTCTAAAAATAATGCCTCCGCGCTTGGAGCGGATGCACTTCGAAGTACTAATTTCGACCAGATCTGTACTCGGCCCCGCGAGGAACACCCGATTTTCGTGTTCAGCGGCCTCGAATTAACCTAAACCAAGAGGATTCTAGAACATTGAGGCTCGCGCTTTATCGCGGTAGAAGGAAGATGATCACAGAAACCAGCCCACGGCGATTTCCTGGTGGTAGACGAAAAGAATCGAGTGAACTGCGCGCACACTGTAGAAGCAGTGACGGTGAAAACGTGTGACTTATGCAAGCAGGCGCGCACGGCATGTGTGCACACTGCATGCATGCACACATCCTGTATCGCCATGTATGCACCAGATAGTGCAGTGCTGGACGGAAACCACACGGCTCACATACATACTTGCATTTACTGCTGTGACTACTTTCTCCCCCGTTTTCCGATCTTCAATCGACTATAACTCTAGATTGCCTTGGAATTATGGGTTCAAATTTTCACAGGTAGTTTCTCACTAGGGCTCAAACGGTTAGTCCGATTAACCGGTTGCAGACCGGTTACGAAGAATTAACGGTTAATCGATAAAGATATCGGTTACGCAGTAACTTTTCAGTCAATTTTTCAAGTATCAGGTCGTTGCAAAGTATGCACTTTCGCAGGCTGTCGCACGCACACGCAATTTCTGGGCTGTGAACTCGGTCATATCTGGTCTCTTGGTGTGAGAGTATGTATGAATGAGCATGCAAGAGAATGTACATGTGTGCGTTGTACTGAATAGGGTACATTTTTTGAATGAGTATAGACAAATATACGGTTAAAAAAGAGTCCGCAGGATTGCCGTGGCTTATAGGTTATTACCGTTAAACCGACCGTTAGCTTAGCAGTTAACCGTTAGGGGTAAAACCGTGACCGTTTGAGCCCTATTTCTCACATCTTCCCGGTTTAGAAAAACTAGCGTTTTATGCGAAACTCGAGAATTTGGTTTTTCGATTGAAGTCCCTAACCATAGCTCAGTGGTTAGAGCATCGCTGGCCTCGAGCGAATCTCCCTGATTCGAGTCAATGGTGGTGACAGTTATCTTTTTTTTCAGAATTTTCCCGTTTGCATCTTTACCTCAAACCTGTGACCAAGCCCCAAAGACGAGATTTTTTCAATAATATGAGTTGCTAACATTAATTTTCATTTGGGTTTCAGACACACGTGACTAAACCAGTTACATGTACCTCTCTAACTCTAACCCTCATTCCAAACAACTCGGCATGTACCTTGCGTTGATGTGATTTTAGTTTTCTGAGTGTCCTGCCTGCTCGGTGCTCTTCACTTGATAAAAGCCCGTCGACCTGTAAGACAGGAGCAAAAACAATGGAAGCCATGCAGGAAAACCAGAAACAAGAATAATTACACTCACGACTGTCGAAAGAAAGTGATTTCGGGCATTACACATGGGTTCCAGTACTACAACATCGACGGCCAAAATATTTGGCTAGATACAAAAGCAAGCACATTTCAATGTCAAAACTGGCACGGGTAAAACGAAGCGGCTAGAACTACTTGAAGTCACGTTTTGCTGAAGACAAGAAGACTGGCAAGACGAGAGTACTAGTACTGTACTAGAAGAGCACGAAAACATACCAAGTCACAGTTCCATCGTTTCTCGGTAAAGCAAAAATTGTAGCCGCGTCTTCTTCTTTCTTCGTTCGCTCTCCTCTGTCGATAAAGGCATCGCTCGGCAGTTCGAAGAGTACACAACCCATGTAGCGTGTCGCGGACAAGAAACGAGACTGGCTTGCTAGGCATTGGCTTGCTAGGCGTCCGAAGGCATAACTTCTTCGATGGGCAGCAAGAACAAGGTAAAGAAGAGAAGTAGCCCCATGGCCATGTGTAGACCTACCCAGAAATAAAGTAACACATTAGTAAATAGTTAGTTACCGAATGGAACATGCAGCACAGACTATGAAGACTGAAGACTGAACTGAAGAGTGTAGTGAAGTCAGAACCAGTTACCTAGTGCGACGTAGAGTGCCGGGTTTCCGTCGCGCACTTCCTGATTCGCGCCAGAGGGTTTCCGTCGCGCACTTCCTGATTCGCGCCAGAAGGTGCGAACTAACGTAACTAAGTCTTTGTTTTCACACGGACAGGTACGTACATTTGTAGGTCTGCTGTATGCTGACACGCGCTGCTTTTGCAGGGAGAGGTCTTTTCCAAGTAAGTATTAGTTGGTTGGCCGTTGACCGTCTCTGTGGTATTTGGCGATTCAACTGACTACTTGCCACTTGGAGGTGTTGTCTTTCTCAACTTGACCAGACAAATCCAACATCGTTATCACATAAGCATGCGCAAGAAAATAAAACACACTCTTTTTCTTTGTTGTCCGATTGGCCAAAGTAGCCGTCATCAAGGGCCCGACGTAAAACCCTCTACAAGACTAAATCGGTGACCCCCGACGCTTCGCTCTTCGGAGTTTTGAGCATGTCATCGGCCTCGGCCCGCCGCAGTTTCCTGCTCGCCTCAACTCTCGGGATCCCGTCAATCGCCGGCTGTTGACGTAAAACTTGAGCCTCACCACCATTCGACACTGGATCCGCCTCGGAGCTGTTGTGGCCCCTGCCACCCTCCCGGCACCTGGATACCCCGCTATCCAGCCACGGCACATCGTTCAGTCGTCTTCGTCCTTCGTCTTCGTCCTGGCCTCAAGCTGGAATTTGGCCACCTCCACCATCCGTACCAGCTCAACTGTGCACGCACGCAAGCACACGCCCGGCACCGGACCCCATGGAGCTGCGCTCGCCTCCATCCGTTCCCGCCTCACTCGGCACGCCTCGCCCCAGTGCAGCGCTCCTAGATCCTCCTGGTACCCCGCAAAGCCTGCAACATGCAGCCGCCTCTGACATGATAACACTCCTCTGTCACGCGTAGACTCTACGTATGTCGTTCCTCTTTCCTTTCTTTCTGCCTCTGATCTGACATGCTCTCCATCTCTGTCACGTTTTAAACGCACCTCTGACACGCTAACCCGCCTCTAGCTCTGTCATGCATCTCTCTCTTTCCTGCTTTTCTGATTTTTGTTTCGGCCTTTGTGTCACGAATTTCACACATGCAGCTTCTTGTACATATTGTATTATATTTTTGCCTTTCCGCCTTGTACATGCCGCGCTTCCTTTCTCTTCTCTCTCTTTTTCTTGTTTATCGTGCTTCGCTCCTCCTGACCTCACCACTGGCGGGGGAGTACTGTAGCGACCTGTCTATTACATCACGATCACATAAGCATGCGCAAGAAAATAAAACATTCTCTTTGGTCTCACCTTCTTTGTTGTCCGGTTGGCCAAAGTAGCCGTCGTTAGCCCTTTCCCAAAGGTGCTCTTTTAATTCGCACTTAGTGCTTTTCGCGTCCCTCAAAATATGCTGAAAAAGTGCTCTTTTTACAGTGAAAACAGGCAAAAAGTGCTCTTTTTCAGTGAAGCATAGCCATGATACATGTTCAGATATGAACCTAAGCTGAGAAATGAATACGCACTCTTCCATTTATGGGTCCACGAAAAGCAAAACAGCAGACAGGAAGTAAAGTTCAAAAAACCCACTTTTCACAGCATTCTGTACACCCCCACCGGGTACAATCTTCATCAACTTGTTGCCCCCCAAAAAAGCGGCGTGCCAAGGCCCATCGAGCACTCGGAAACTGTGATCGCATGCATGAGCAAACAGATTTTAGCACTTTTTCAGCTCAAAAAGGGCGAAAGAAACGGGCTTTTCCAAAAAGGGCCAAAAGGGCGAAAAAAGGGCGAGCACCTTTGGGAAAGGGCTAGCCGTCGTCTAGGGCCCGACGTAAAACCCTAAAAGTCCATCGCCGTCAGCCCTTCCTTTTACCGGGTAGATTTCCTATCCTAAAAACTTCCACAGCAAGTGAGTTTAGTTCGGTGCAGATCTTGCATGCGGGCTTGGGTACTGATTAGGAATTATTTGAACACTCGTCGAGGAGATAGAAAACGTAAAATGGGGATGAATAAAACAGTACATGACTGTAAGTATTATGTACATGTACGTGTACGATGGTGAGCCAAGGAAAAATAATTTTTTTCATTATAGTCAAGTAAGCCAATTTGGTAACCGAACGTTTTCGTTCCCTTCTGATCATGGGTGTGGGTAAGTACAGGGAATAATGGAAAGATGTCAAAGTACTGCAATTTATAGAGCTACAGCAAACGCATAGATCGAGAACCTCACGCTATACGTGTGGAAAAATAACATTCAGCAGAACAGGTCAAACACAGGGTGAAGGTGAAGAAATGACTAAAACATAATGAAAACATCAGTGAGGAGTAGGCACCGGCGGATTATG